GGAAAGAGAAAAATAGTCCTGTGAGGCATCTCCTTGAAAGCCTTTGAAAACCCTATACTCACACTRAAACACAAAAGTCAAGTTCAGAAATACTGTATAAGCAGCTTGCACACGTATTTTGGAGGCAGGCATTTAGACTGGGATGCTGTCTCCCTCTGCTACCCCTGATCTTCCTTTGTAGTTCAAGGGGAATGCACAAGCATTCCCCTTGTGGCGTTGACTACTCTGAGGAAAAAGGTGCTAATGTGATTTAATAAGTATTTTTTGATTATCTGACCCAAAACCAAGCTGGAGGTGTGAGGCTGGAAAAGGAAGGCACATTGAGGGTGGTCAGTGCAGGTTGGCTCTGGCTTCCTCTGTCCCTGCAGGTCTGCAGGAGCTGCTGTTCACTGCACTCAGAGCTTGAGTTGGTATGAAAACTCAGCAAAGCAATTTACAAGTTCAGGTTTCTGAGAGAAGTCATTGTAGGAGAATATCAGTACTGCCTTTGCACCCCTTCTGAAACCTTCGGCCTGTTATAGCAAATTGCCATCGTGTTTCACGCTTTGGTGAATAATAAATGGCTGTTTTGAACAGGGGGAAGTAATTCTGTGAGTGAGCACGTGTRCCTGGAGGTCAGTATTGGCATGAAGTCAGAGCAGAGCACTGAACTGCTCTTGCATGTGCAGGCACGTCCAGGAACTGCTCCAGGGGGTTCCACAAACCCTCCAACAGCTCCTCTGTCCAGGGACTTCTGTTTTCCGGCTGTAATGAGCCAACCTGGCACTTCCCACTGCTGTCACACTCACGTGTGTACTCTGAGGCTCCCTCCTACTAGGGATCAGTTCTAATAATATCACAAAGAGCCATGTGTTGGGGAGAGAAAATCCCAAATTAAAGCAAAATSATCAGCTGGAAGTCACCAGTTGTTTAAGAATGTACTGAAGCACTCCCCTATTCTCACAAGAGTTCTTATAAACCATTTGACTTCCAAAGCATTTAGACTGCTTAGAAAAAGCCCTTTGCCAGCCAGCCAAGGGGCTGCCTCTGCCACATGCAGATGCTCTGTAGGAGGGAGGATGTGACCCACCTGGCCTGGCCTTGCCATGAACCATTTGTGGCCCAAGACTCAATGAATGTGCATGTCTCACAGAGCTCTTCCCATTCATTATCCTTCAGGTTATATTCCTACATTAACTGGAGACATGAAGTCAAAAGCCACAGCTCCTCCATCAGCCTCTCCTAGGACTTTGTCCCCAGCACCATAACACACCAACAATGTCATTGCAAGCTCTGGCAACAATCAGTGAACAGCTGTAAGCAATCTGTGTGTGGGTGATAACACAACAGACTGACTTACCTATGGCCATATTCTGACAGTGCCAGCTCACTTGCTTTTCTAGTTTTTTTCACTGACAGCTTTCAGAATTGGCCTGGTGCATTTTATAAGCCARTTAATAAGCCCAGTTTTTCTTCCTMGTACTTATAACAGCAACTCAACACTTCATACCAGCAAGGAGAAGAAAAAAAGACATAGAAATGCATCAGCTTTCTATCAGAAATCTCAAAAGTTCCTCCAAATTAATCAGAGGAGGGAACCGAACTCCAGGATTCAAAGCTGGCAACCTTTGAAATGACAGGAACACGAATAAYCTCGGCACGTGGCAGTCAGTACCTCCACACCTCTTAACATCACTGTGACAAATTACCTGGAGCACTGGTGTTGGCAAACAAGAGTGTGAAAGCAGAACCAGGGCACAGCAAGAGGCCAGCAGATGTCCATCACTTAACTGCAAAAGAAAGATAAATCCAGTGGCACATGGAAAGGATAAATTTTCCCCAAAGAAAAAGGACAAAGAGAGAAAAAATAAACACATATTGTTTCCCAGCAAATAAAACTTGAATGGGGGGGTTGCATAAGTAGGGATAAGTTATGTAAATTTTAGTTTGGTTCTCAGAAAAAAATAATGGAGGAAGTAATCAGTAAAATATGTTTAAAGTCAGACAATGGCAGTGGCAGAGTGAGGAAGCAAGAATGCAGCCATAAAGCCATGGCTAATGTTTGTCTGGGGCAAAATAATTCATCTAGTTAAATGTTGCATAGCCCTAAACTCATGCCCCCCTCCATTTCCCAGCCTATTTACTCCACAGAGAAACCCCCGGTGCTACAGGAGCAGCAGAACCATTCCAAGTGCAAGCAGGAGCACGTGTTCCCCACTGCTGGGAGGAGGCTGCAGGGGGGTGCTCTTCCCACCACAGCCAGGCCTCCTGGCTATTTAGGACCTCTGGTTATTTAGGACTCCTGGACTCCTGATTATTTAGGATGTTGTATGTCCCAGCCACCCCCCAGCTGGACCCCAAATCCTCATCATCCCCRGGTTAGGTGAGGCACCCTCCTCTCCACTCAGACCCCCAATCTTGCCCAGTCCCAGGGCAGCTGATCCCTGACATCCTCATCCCCACAAGTAAATAACCTCTCAGTCCCTGCAGTTCCTACCTCCTTTCTGCCATTCCCCAAGAACTGTAGCCAGGGCATGGAGCTCCTGAGAGCACAAGGGCTCATCTCCCTTTCCCACAGCACCTGAGGTTTCATAGCCCGGGTGCCAACTGACTCTCAATTCACACATTATCTTACAGCCGGGTGCAGCTCCTTTGCAGCCCCTCTGCTTCAGATCTCAGGGAGTGGAAGCCAAAGGTGTTAGCTGCTCTGAGATTTTGACCATTTCCACCTGGGAATCCTATAGAGCAAATCATTATGGTTCTATCATTTACCCTTCAGCTCMTTTGCTGTGGAGCTCATGAACCTTTATGAGCCTTAAAAACCCCAGGCGCTCTGGCTGGTTGTGTGGGTGTTTAGCCTTCTATTTGAAGCTGGCTGTGCCCTGCTGTCCCCTGCCCAGCCAGGAAAATGCCATCATGGGGTGGACTTGTCCCCTGGCACACGTGCCCTGAGGTGGCACAAATCACTGCTGACCAAATGTGGGTTTCCCAAGCATTCCTCAAACCCCGGATCTGCTACACAGCAGCAGAGACTTTCAGCTCAAATGACAAAGAGAAGCTGGGACAGGAAAGGAAGGGATGAGATGGGGAACATGATACAGGATGTGAAGGGACAGGTGACAACAAAATAGGAAGGGATGGAAGATGGAGAAGGGTAGGATAGGATACAGAGTGGGATGGGATGGGACAGGAGACAGGATGAGAGAGGATGGGAAGGAAAGGGTGCTCAGACACGGATCAGCAGCCTTTGGGCTACTGCTGGCCATCCCTCTCATGACCGTGCACCATCCTTTGGCACAGGGGCTGCCACCTGGAATGGCTGCACTGCCAGGGGCATGGGGGCAGGGAGTGGGACAGGTGGGAAAAGGAGGACAGCCCTCACTCCCCCGCAATATTTGGGCAAGTTAAAAATTCCCGAGCACAGAAGGGGAGCAAGATCCGAAGGAGAAGGGTGACTCAGCTTGTCAAGTGACTCTGKTGGCGTCAGCCAGGATTATTTGCATTTATATACAGAGGGAGCTCTCCTGCACTGAGGCCGCTTCCTGCATAGCATCTTCCCTCCTCCTACTTCTCCTCCTCCTCCATGTCAAAGGGAACTGATTCAGGGTTGTGGGTTTTTTTGCATTAAATCTTTTTTTTAAAGGGTTGTCCCAGACCCCTGGGCTGAAGTGTGGATGTCCTGCACGATGCTGAGGGCTGCACTCAGAAGGGCAGGCTGTGAGAGCTCCRGGCTCGCCATGTCCAAGCAATTTGCTTTGCGGCTCCAGAGCTCATGGCTGCTAAATGCCCAAATATGGGGAACCCAGGGCATCTCCAAAGAGCATCAGACTGTTTTAAAAATACTTTATTCTTTAGAAAATACAGCGTTCAGTACAGTGTGCTCTGCTGCCCCCAGCTTCAACCCCCTGACTGCGCCGAGGCCAAGGCAACATCGGCACGTTCACCGCCACGGCTGGAAAGCAGAGGGCAGCTTTCACCGACCCCCTTTCCACCCTCGCAGGGAGGCAGGGGGCTCTCGAGCCCTCGCTGGCACCCAGCAGCAAGGAGCTCTCTCCCCAAGCCCCCAGTGCACCCCAATCACAGTGCCAAGCTCGGCCCTGGAGCCGCTGACGGCCCTTGGTGGCTGGGGACATCGCCAGGGACATCCCCAGGGGGCACACAGGGGCTGTCACGCTCCCCCACACAAGGATTTGGGGTACCCCAGGTGACTATTGACACGTGGGGCTGCCCCAGCCCACAGACCCGGCTGAGAACCTGGGGGTAAGGAAATGGTGTGGACTGGGGAACGGGGAGTGGGGGAGCAGGGCTCAGGAACCCCTCAGCTCCCATCCTGAACAGGAACAGGGCTGAGTCAGGGCTGTAACAGCTCCTTCTGAGCGGAAAAGCCTTTCTGGGGCAGCTCAAAGAGGGGATGCAAACATCATCCAAAGGCAGAGTGACCTTTCTCCAGGTCCAGGCTGAGCTCAGGACTCAGTGGGGAACTTCCACCTCCCGCTGCCTGGCTCTCTGCAGGGAGAAACTCCCATCCCACAGGAAGCAAAGCCCACCCCACAGGGGGTCCTGCCCGCACCCTGAGGAGGTGCGGGATCGCTCCAGGCCTGGGGCAGAGGGGCCGTGCACACCAAGAGTGGGACAGGGGAACAMAGTCTGGGGGCTGGGGGAGCAGGGAAAGAAGCATTTTCTCTTTTCAAACAGGAATCCCCACCACTACCCCCTTCCCTTTGCATAGAGCAGCTTTCAGGTGAGTGTGTCCTTCAGTCACCCAGGGGACACCGAGAGCGGTGACTGTGACCCTGAGGGGGASAGGAGCAAGGCTGGGGACATGGCTCTGCTGTTCCCATCTTCCCCCCACAGCCCCGGGGCTCGCACAAGGACACGGGGAAAAGAAACACCGACAACCCCGAACCCTCCCCATCGCTCTGCCCCCAGGTGCAACAAGCCATCCAGATGTTTAAAAAAGGAATGAAATAGGAAAAAAAAGGGAAAAAAAAAAAAAAAAAGGCTGAGATGGAGGGAAAGANAAAAAAAAAAAAAAAAAAAGGCTGAGATGGAGGGAAAGATCCCCAGGTCAGCGGAGAGGAAGGCGGGACGCGCCGCAGGGATGGTGTCCGTTGGCCGCCGGCCCCGCGGGATTTAACTGTCCTCGCCGTTCTCGCCCGGCCCCTTGATGAGCCGCTTCTGTCCCCGCTTGCCCACGGGCCCCTTGGGCTTGGCGAAGGCCTGCTTGAAGGCGTGCTGCTTGGGGTGCACCTCCTCGTACAGGAACTCAGCCGTCAGCTCCGCTCCATCGTCGATCTCGATCTGCAATGGAAACGGGGGCTCAGCACTCCCTGGGGGTTGGACCCCACCTTTGGGGCACCACGAGGGGCTGGACCGAGGCTGCAGCACCGTCCCTGGCAATGCCCAGCCCGGGTCCGTGCTCCACCACCTCTGGGGGGGCTCGCACTCACCTTCTTGGCTATCTCCAGGCAAAACTCCTGCTCCACAGTGTCCAGCAACCGGCTCTTGCAGCTGGAGTAGAGCATGCGCTCCTTGATGCTGCACTTGTACCCGGGCATGGAGTAGATGAACACTGAGGGAGGAGAGCAGGGATTGTGGTGCTGCCCAGGCCCACAGGGAGCACTGGCTGCATCCCACCCTGCCCACAGCCTTCCCAGCCCCGAGAATCCCAGAAAACACCCAGCAACAGAGGGTGAGCCATCCCATCCATCACCCCTCCCAAATCTCCCCTGGTGCCCCTGCAAAAAATCCTCCTCTGCACAAATCCTCTGTGGCAGCACCCACAGACCTGCACTGCACATGGCACTGAGGGGTTTGCAGCACCCACCACGGGAGGGAACTGACTCGGGGCTCCCTGAGGCACCATCCCTGTCCCCATCGCTGCTCGCTCTGCACATGACCAACGGCCCAGGGAAAACAGGGATGGGCACAGGCTCAAACCAGCCCTTCCCAGCGCCRAGGCTCTCACCAACAGACTCCAGGTAGTCTCCCTCGTGTGAGTGCTTGTACAGGAAGAAATGGTAGCGAGCAGAGTCCTGGGGGATCCTCTTGGGCAGGTCAGCGATCTCCGTGGGGCTCGTGTGCACCAGGTCGATGGTCTCCCGCTCCAGATCCAGCTTCTAATGGACAGAGGGGACAGGGAGCAGATGGGAGTGAGGGACAGCGGCAGGAGGTGGGGAATGGGGCACAGAGAAGCYGTGAGAGGGACCTACCAGCTGGATGTAGTTGATTTTCTTCTGCTTGAGAGCCTGGATGGCTTGCTGGGCATCCAGCTGCAGGGGGAAGGCCAGGCCCTGCAGCGTCTGGTGCTTGCTCTCCACGCTGATCTCCGTCTTCACCTGGGGATGGAGACCACCTCGAGCGTCAGGGCACAGCAGCAAAGGGTGGGGAGGGGAGAAACAGGAAAACCAGCTGGTTCTGCAGCTAAAGGCTTCTGATCCAAGCAGCTGTCTGACACCTGTCTCACAGGGACAGTGGCATCCAACCACCGAGAGTCAGCCAGGATCAGGATGGTGATGCTTGTCACCATGCCACCTCTCCAGGAGATCACCCAGCCCAGCCATGCACCCCCACACCCCCTGCTTCACTCTCAGCAAAGACCAGCTCAAAACCAACATTTCCCAGTGAGTCCCTGGCAGGGGTGCTGTGACCAACACTGGCACGTGTCCTCTGCGATCATCTCCGACTGCAACCTGTGGGTGACAGGGGAAGCCCTGAAATCACAGCGCTCAGCTGGGCAGCCCTGAAATCACAGCGCTCAGCTGGGCAGCCCGCCCTCCTCCGTGGGTTTAACTGCAGCAGGCTGGCATTCCCTCAATGCTGGACTTGGGGATTGGGGATACACAGCTTGGAAAGATCCCAGGCGCTGTTTTCCCCAAAACCCCTACAAGGCAGAGGCTGCTGGCTGTGTCCTGAGCACACCCCCTAGTCCAGGAGACCAAACCCCACGTGAAAGAGGGGAGAGAAAGAGACTGCAGAGACATCACACGGCTCCAGTGCCTCCATCCAGCCACAGCGGGGTCCCTGAGGGGCGCTGGCGGGACGGGGCAGCACGCGGCGGGCACACCATACCTCCTCGGGGTCGGGGTACTCTACCAGCGATGGGCAGCAGCAACAGCCCCCCACCATCTGCCACAGAATACAGGGAGATGGTGTCACCCCATAGCAGAGGAGCCCATCCCACCTCAAGACCCCCTCCCAGGGAAACAGCAASACTATCCCAGGTGCTCTGCAGTGAGCTTTGGTCCCTTTCCTTTAGGATCGGTTTGGATAGAGTCCAACCTTTATGGGTTTTTTTGTTTTTTTTTCTTCATTTCCCTCCCCCTGACAGAGAAAAAGAAGAGAAGTCAAGGCATGCCAAGAGAAACACAAGAGTTTGAGCTGACATSTCAAAACCACTCGGCAGCACCAAAGTGGGTCTCGTTACAGGGTGCCCTTTGTTACAGCAGCCCCACGCAGCACCCACACCCTGGGGGATGATGGAGCCAGATGCCCGGAGCAGAGCATGCAGGAAAACACTGCCAGGAGAAGGAAAAACCGGGCATCAAGCGGGCAGAGCAGCCTACCATCTCAGTGCTCGAGTCCTGGGAACAGGAATCCTGCGAGCGTGGGGAGAGGAGACACACTGTCAACGGCACCCGGCGCAGGGATGGGGGCTCGTGGGAAAGGACAAGGGGTGGGGGACACACGGATATGCCAGGAGGATGGAGCTGCACCTTCTCTCTGCTGGAGGCCAGGGAAGGTCGATCCTGGCCATGTGGGAAGGGAGAGCAGCAAAAAAAYGACACAGGAGATGCCAGTGCTGGGGAGGAGCAGCCCCGAGCCCGGGCACACAGGGTCTGCACTACCATCCCTGCCCCATCTCCTCCTGACTCCCCACCCAGGGTCTGGAGGACTTGCAGCAATAGATTTTGGGCTATCCTCCACCAAGGAGCATATATGGTAGGAYTGAGAAGAAAAAAACTGCCCAAGCCCCTCTCCATGCCAAACATCCTGGAGGACGAGCAGGGTGTTAATGTGCAGCTCCTGGGAAAAGGAAATAATGGCTCAGGTGGACACTAAGTGCAGCTGACCTCCAGCTCTGCTGTCCTACTCTCCCCCAGGTGCCAYGGCACCAGGAAGGGCCCAAGGACAAGGGCCCAGGGATTCAGGACACACACAAGCCCACCTGGTCCCATCCTGTGGAGAGGTGCAGCACAAGAACATTAGTATCTCCAGAACTCCAGCTTTCTCTCCCGTAAATGCAAGGAGACCAGGAGAGTTACAGTGGGACCAAAGAGACCTTAGCTCTGTCACAAAGCACACTGAGTCCAAAAACACCAAGAGATGGAAATTTGTCCCAGTAACATCAACTCCCCCATATACCTCTGTATACCTTTCTACTCCTTCACTTTTCAAAACCATTAAAAACTGTCTGAAACACACTGGGAGCAGTGCATAGGACAGCTGAGCATGTGCTGCATCCTGGCCTCCCAACCATGCCAGCAGCAGGCTTGCCTAGGAGGTTTTTTCTCCTTTCCTTTAGATTAAATTTTCTTCCCCTCTTTCCCCTCTCTTGGCATGGTGCTGACTCTWTTTAAGGATCATTATTTCTCCATCTTATGGCAAAATCCTCACAGGAGGGTTCTGGCAAAGCCTCTGCTCCACCCACCAACCCTGCAGGGCAGCTCTGAAGGACACCCCTTACACACTGTGATGGCACCCCCACCTTCAGCTCCTCTCAGTTCTCCTGCCTCCTTCCCCAGCTCCAAGGCTGCCTTCCTCTTCCCCACAGGCTTACCAATAGGATATGCCCAGCTCCCCCTCAACCCATGTTTCTGAACCTGCAATGCTTCTACAAAACTCGTGGGTGTTGAGCTCAATGCCAAATTCAGAGCTGTTTCTTAGCCCACAGTCTGCTGACAACTATCAGCTCAGTAAAGCTGGCATTTTCYACTTAGTTAAAAAAAATATATATATGAAGCATGTGGCAAATTTCCATGAGCTCCCACCCAGCTATCAAAAAGGGGGTTAACTCACAACATCACCTCTGTTCATCCAATCCTGAAACCACGGGGAAAGTTTGCCTCATGCAGCCTAAAACCTGCTTTCCTAAAGGCTGGGCAGCCCACTGGGGGATGTGCAAACCTCAGTTGCTCGGTGTCAAAGGCTGCTGTGCCAGCCCTGAAGCTGCTGTCCTGCAGCTCTCGCCTGTCCCTTCCTGTTTTCTGCTGCCCTTCTCTTCTCATCCCCTCTCCACACTCATCTGGTGGCTCAGGAGGATCCCAGGCAGCTTCTGCCTGCCCAGAAACTCAGCCATGTTCGGGGTGAAGGCTGCAAATCTGGCCATGTCTTGGAGGGTTGTGAACCAACAGTGTGAGAGGGGAGGGGAGCGGGGCCCCAGCAGCAGCTCCAGGAATGGGCACAGCAAAGCACAGCAAACACCACCAAGGCTGGTGGCATTGAAGAAACCATGTCCCTTGTGTGCCTCTGGAATCCCAACAGGCTGGCTGAAGGCAGGGGGATGCACAGAGCCCTTGCAGGGGACTGGGCAGRCACAGCAGTGCTGAGGTCAGGGCTCACCCCAGGGCCAATTCCCCCCAGGTCATTCTGGCCCTCATCAGACATTCCCACGCACTGGATCTGCTCCTCCCAGCCCAGCTGCCATGTGCAAGCACAGCCCAGCCCCCACAGCCTGGGCACAAGGTGACACGGGCAGGGACCCTGCCAGCTGCAGGCCATCAGCAGGGGGATACARGTTTGAGCTGCTCCCACACACCCTCCTTGATCACAGCCATCTGCTTTGTGGGGCTCCAGAAACTCCCTCAAATCTGCATTTGCTGACAGTCCTGAGACCCCCCCACCCCGGGGAGGCCAGAACAGCACCAGGMACCCAAATCAGCTCCCACCACCTCCTGCTCCATGTCCAAGGCTGAGCGGCTGCAACATCAACACAGATGTTGCGTACCCAGCACTCGGCTGCTTCCCACATTTAAATCCACAGGCAAAAATGTATCTATCTTCATCTCTTTCTTAATGTCAGTGATTCCTCCCTGTGGCCCAGACTGGCCCAGGGACCATGAACACTTAAAATAACCCCCAAAAAAMCAGACAGCAGCAGCACCTCCACCCAGGAGCTGCAACTCACAAAGGTGAGAGTGGGAGGGAAGGAGAACCAGGCAGATCAGTGAGCACCACTTCACCACTTACCTGGGCCACAGGACCCTGTAAGACACTGGCCAACACCCCCAAAACTGCTTAACCCTGCAGCACGGGCCAGACAAGGTGATGGCACAGATCATCATGGAATGAGCTGAGTCAAAAGGGACCCTCAGGGATCATCGAGTCCAGATGTCCCAAGGCACCAAACAAGCCACAGAACCACCATCAGCACCTCTCTCTTCTCCAAGCACAGGCATCTCCTTGGATCCCCCAGAACAAATTTTACCCAGGCTCTCCAGGCTGGAATAATTCCCACACGATGGAGACCACCCCTTGGTGGCATCTCCCAAATRTCCCTCAACTTCTCCATCTGCTGACCTGCTTTGGCAGTGGAAATCACCCCCAGAAACCTCCTCCTGCCTCGTCTGTGCCATTAATTAACTCCATGAGGCTGATTGGMTTCACATCTCCCACGCATGTCCTGATCCATCTGTGAGCCCCACGGCCTCAGCACAGGCAGAACAGAGGGGTGCTCCTCTGGAGGGGGAAGCTTTCCATGCAACTAAGGGAAATCACCCCATCCCCTAAAAATACTTCCAGTTTCCAGCGGTCTTCCCACACAGTGGAAGGACCCAYCCCTTCCCTGCCTCCTTGTATCACAGCACCACAGAGGCTGGCACCAGAGCTGTGAAATGCCAGCAGGGAACAATGGTGTCACAGCCTTGTCTGCCCCCAGTCCTACCCTGCACCACTTCCACATCCTTTCCAGCACCCCAAATTTAGGCTAAGATAGGTATTTCCTGGGACAGTATCCCTCATATTTACAGCCATGAAGGAAGAGTATGGGAGAGGATGCTGCTGCAGTCCAAAGATAAGCCTGAATTCTTCCTGCCTTCCTTATCTTCAAACCCAGCTCTGGCTTTTGCTCCAATACCCACAGGTTAGAGATCTGCTTTCAGCCCCAAACCATCTTCTGACTGTCAACAAAACAGTCCTGAGCTCGAGTYCAAACAACGGGAAAAAAAGAATGGTGCAAATTCTTCTTTATGCCACCAATTTGAYTGTGAGGGTGCTCATCTGCCTTGAGAATGGAAGGAATGGTTTAAAGGGCAGAGAGCAAAGTAAAAACAAGCCATCCCTTTTAGCTGAATGTTCATTCCCTGCATCCTGCATCCCTTTGTGCCCAGGGGGCCTCAGGCTCCTCTCCTGGGGCTGCTGGACACCCAGCTCAGCTGGACACCTACTGCTGCTGGACATTCACCTGTGCTGGACATCCACTGCTGTTGAACATTCACCTGTGCTGGACACCCAGCTATGCTGGACACCCACTGCTGTTGGACACCCAGCTCTGCTGGACACCCACTGCTGCTGGACACCCAGCTGTGCTGGACACCCCGTTTTTGGACACCCAGCTCTGCTGGACACCCCCTGTTTTTGGACACCCAGCTCTGCTGGACACCCACTGTTTTTGGACACCCACCTCGTTGATGCGGATCTGCTGGAGCTCCTGCTCGGCTGCGGTCAGCGGGGCTGGGGCGGAGCAGGAGGACACGTGCTTCTGGTAACCACTCAGGGACACGTCCTCCTGCAGACAGGGGCACAGGGAGAGTGTCACAGGCAGCTCCTGCTGCAGGGCTGCATGCACCCCCCGACCTGAGCTGAGTCTGAGCAACCCAGTGAGTCTCGGCTCCCTCCTGACCAGGAGGATGAACCTCAGGGCTCTTGGATGCCTCCATGCAAATCCCACACTCGATTTGTCTGCAGCCCTCCCCAGGCACCCGTGGCTGTGGCAGTGGGYTCCTCTGGCTGACTGATGAAGCTCATGAGATGGAAGTGAGAGATAAAGGCAGAGCCCATAGGCTGGGAGCAGCAGAGGGACCTTGGAGCACAGCAGGGATGCTCCCTGGTTTCCACCAGCACCAGAAGCCCCAGGGGAGCAATGCCCAGGACGCCCTGGCTGTGCAGATCCCTAAGCCCACGAAGAGAAGGAATAACCCCATCCGAGGCAGTGGATAACCCCGGCATAGAAGCCGCTCTTGCTGCTGGGGTGACACTGCCACCACCTGGCACTTGTCACATCCAGCACAAAGCTCCACATCTCGGAGCCTCCTCCCACCCCTTCCATGCTCCATCCCAGCCCACAGCCACGCAGCCAGGAGAAAGGCACAGTGGCCACCCAGGGAGCAGGGTGCAGGACCAACCCCGGCTGCTCCCCCAGCAAACACCAGCATCCCACATCCCAGCAGCCACACCCTGAGCTCAGGGCGGGCAGCTGGAGCTCAGGGTCASACCCAAAAGGCTGCCCTGGACCCTCCACCGTACCTTCACTGTGCCAAACATCTCRTCCTTTATGTGCCCCCCGCCAAACTCCTTCTTCACCGTGGCTCTGGTGGCAGCGTACAGCATCTTCAGCCGGACCTGCCAGGACAGGGTGGCAGTGCTGTCACACAGGGCCACCAGAGAGGTGCCCAGTGCTCACAGCCACCATCCCACCMCAGGCTCCACAGCCTCTCCTGGGAGCACCCACCCAGTTTCTAGCTCGGTCTGGTTTCTAATGGCAGCATCCCTCGACAGCACTRTTTCTGGGGCTGCAGCCTCGCCAAGTGCTGCCCACAATCCAACAGTTGATTCCATGCTTGGCTTTCCAATCCCTGAGCTCCAGAGTGCCATTTCCCACCAGCACCTCGGTTAGAGGCACAAATACCCCCACAGCCACTTAAAAGTGACTTTTGCCTTTGGCACTTCTGTTGCATCATTCTGCAAAATGCAGGGAAGAGTTTTGGAAAGCTCTCCTGGGTACATTGTGCTCCTGCAATAAGAGCCTCTGTGGTTTGTTGAAAGATACACATATTTAAAATATGTATTATATATGTGTATATTTACATGTACACATGCACAAATATGTACATGCATGTAAAATTACATATATATKATTTGTATGTATATTTTTATGTGACCAGTGTATGTATTAAATCTATCTAGCCTATAGATTATATTAAACATGTAACAAATATACACATAGGATTATATATATATATACACATACATATACACACACACGTGTGTATATATATATATATATATATGTATGCACACACAAATATATATATAAAGATGACAAGCACACATGTTCACACAACAGTAAATCTCAGGCCTGTAACAGAGATGTGCTCAACAGGGTGGCACTTTCCCAGCTTTAGCACTGACATACTCCAAACCTGCTTCCCATCCAACYAGCCCTTTTGTGCCCACTGTCCAGCAGCTGATTTTGGAGCAAGGTCTGGAGAAGGGCTGGCAGCCACTCTGCATCAGCCTCAAGCAGAGCAGGGACAGGCTGGAAGTGAATCAGTGTCAGTGCCAGCCCTTTCCAGCAATGGCCAGAGCCATGGTGGGATGTGTCCATCCTGATCCCATGGTCCACACCATTCTTCCCTCTCCATCCCAGCCCCTCCATCTCTCACACTGCACTGCAGAGAGGACACAGTCCCAGTGTATCTCAGCGTGCTCTAAAAAGCTCCCATCCCCACAGCAGTCTCCATTTCTCAACCCAGGCACAGAAAAGGAGGGTGTGAACTGTTCCTCCTCAGCCCCAGGGCAAAGTCCCCGTGGCCAGCATCTCCTCCCACTGTGTCCCTGTCCCCGGGGCGTGTCCCTGTCCCCAGGGCCCGGAGCTCACCGGGGAGCTGTCGGGGGACCAGGAGATGAAGAGCCACTCGTAGCCCTGGGCGTTCTGGCTGTCCAGGCGGTACAGGACATAGCAGGGCTGCTGCTCGTCCAGCAAGGGCAGCACGAAGGTGTCRTAGTCGGCGTCCCAGCGCCGCGACAGCTCTTTGTGGGCTCCCAGCACGAGCTGCTCTGCAAGGAGAAGACAGGAAAGGTGGTGTTAGGTGAAAGGAAGTGAGCCTTGCAGGAGCAGGTGGTGGCTCACCCAAGGGCTCACTGCAGCCCCAGCACCAACAGTGTTGTACTGCAGAAGAACAAATGATGACCTTGAGCCACATGCAGGAGTGTACACCCCCAGGGATGAGCCCCAGGAGAGGCTGTGGGGCTGTGGTTTTCTGACAGCCTCCTGTCAGCCATCTCCTCCCCTCCTGTGCTCCTCACCAGCAAGGTCTCCTCTCTGGTGATCACCTCCTTCCATTCTGCTCCCTCCAGCTCKGCAGTCTCCAAACATCCCTCCCTGCTCACAGGGGAACACAAGACCTCCCCCATCCCACCTGAACAAGYTCTGGTGGCACTGAAACACCTCACCAGGGCCATGGAGGACTGTCAACATTTTGGRTGCTGAGAAAAGTAAAAGTCTTAGCAAAATCCAGGACGATAAACCAAAGCTGCTCTCATTGGATTCCCTGTAACATCACACGGGTTAAAATCAGAGCTGATACCCAAAGCCCATGTCTGTGAGAACCAGGGTGTCTCAGTGSCCAGCCTGGATGGGGACCACACTGCCAGAGCAGCCCCAGCCTCTGGAAGCAGCCTGTGCATTTCACACACATTTAACAAGAGTTTTTTCAGCTGCTACACAAGTGGCAGTGGGACAGGGAGCCCTGTGAGCTGGGCACTGCTCAGAAGGGATTTAAACACCGGTGCAGGCATCCTACAAACATGAAATCCACACTGTGGTGAGGTTCAAGACAAGTTTTGGGATGGCTGGATGGAAAAGTGGTGGTGCTGGAGATACCAGCACAGGCTGCTGGAAAACAGCCTGTAATTTTTTAGGGGCAGAAAGGTCTGAGGGGAGATTATGGGACTCAGAACAAGATGTAGGAAAATATGGAGGTGCCAAAGCGAAATGTACTGGGGCCTTGGACAACTGGCACTTGAGGGCCTGCATGGCCTGGCACGTGCCCTGCCAGGACCTCTGCCCACAGCCCTGCTGCCCACTGGGAGCTGGGGCACAACCCTCTCCCTCCCAGCCCATTCTACTCAGCAGCTCCAAATCCCATGGCAGGAACACTTTTGAGGAATGAAGAGTTTGGGAGGAATTACTCTCACCCCTCCTTGCCATCCAGGCAGGACATTCCCCATGACAGCAGCGTAGCCCTCCCCTGCCCAGCACTGCCCTGGCATCTGCCACCACGCACTGAATCCAGTTATTTGTGCGTGGGTGGGACAAGTTCCTGGTTCAGTAGCAAGGACAGCAGAGAACAAGGTGCTGGAAATATTTTACCCTTGGCAAAACTACTTGTTTAGTCAAAGAGAAGTATAAAAACTTCAATGTACTCCCAAAATAACCACAAAGCTCTGTGACTGGATTTGTGCATTGCAAAGGCCCGAGATCCTGAGGAAACTGCAGGAATTTGCAGGGCCAAACCCACGGGCAGCTCGAGGGTATCTCTGTCTGCAAAACAAACCAACACCTCACTCACTCACTCACAATCAGTGCTGARTCACTGCAGGCTATTCCCGGGCTGTGACTCAGCCGGACCCCGGCAGTGCTGCTGGCAGCCTTCAACCTTCCCTCAGCTCTCTGCAGCTCTGCTCAACACATTCAGGGACAAGTTTTCTTCCTTGGGAAGAGTCAGGAAAGGGAAACTCAGAGCAGACAGCCTTCAGTAAAGTTATATAGTGCTGGCTGTATGGCTCTGTTTGTCCCAGGAGATGTTGATGTTTCTGGCCCTCGAGGTGCTCCCAGCTCTCCCTGCCCTGCTCTGAAATGCTCCTGTACAAGGCAGCCCTGCCTGCAGCTCTGGTGGGTGTGACTCTGCAAAACTCAGTGCACTTCATCACCTGTGAGTAAAGAAATGCATCCAACAGGGAATTCCACASAGCCAGCCTTGTCCAGAATGCTGCTGACAGCGAGGAGCAGAGCATCATCTCAAAACACGTGGCACCACAAGCTGTTCTCAGGAAACTGCTGAGTGCACATCCTGCTCCCCCACTTGGTACTCCATCCAATCTCAGCTTTTCCCAGTAGCTCTCCAAAGGCAAAATGAGCTCAAATTGCTCCCAAAGTGTTGCTCAGCCACCACGGTGGTCTTGGGGATGCCCAGACACGGAGCATCTGCCACAAGRCTCCTTGCACCACCTCCCTCTCCTACTCACTGCTGCCTGCTCCAAAACACCCCAAGACAAATTCTCTGTAGGATAAAAGGTGCTGAAAGCCATAGAGCAGAGATGGACACCCCCTGCTCAGGCAGGGCAGCTGACATGTCCCCAGCCAGCTCTGGACACCTCCCTTCCATGGTGAGCATCTGCCTGTCTGGTTGTGTCATTTGCCCAACTCTGCTGGCTACCAGCAGGCTGATGTCCCCCGTGTGACACAAGAGTGGTGGCCCTGCTGCTGACAACCACACATTGCACAGATAAATAAATCCCATTCAGGCTGAGTGGAGATGTTGGGAAATGTTTTCCATTGGTGATAAAAAGTCCCCCTTGCTGGCATCAGCAGCCAGAGCCCAAAACCAGTGGCACCAGCTCTACCATCCCAAGCCCAGCCTTAGGGACATGCATGATTTACCCTAACACAAACCTGACTCCCACTTTTTAAAAGCAAAAGAAGCTGAGGGCACAAAATTGTTGTCAGAGACACTCCAAAGGAACAAAGTGGATATGTCATCCCCCAATAATGGGGACCTTGTCAGGACAAAGCCAACGCTGCTGAGCCTTGCTGCAGCTCCACTGATGTGTCCTGTGCATTTCAGGTCACACTGCTCTTCTGAACAGGACCTGGTGGCCTCTCCAAAGGTCACCTGGGCTCCTCATGACCACAGGCTCCTTACAACCACATCCACCTCTGTGTCTGCACGGGTGGCCCACCCAAGGGAGGTGGTGACAGCACCTTGGCAGGGCACTAATGTCCCCGCTGCTGTGAGAAACAAGTCATTCATATGCAATTGTATGAGGCTGAGGTGATGGAAAACCTACACCAGGGCAGCTCCTGCCTGCTAGGACCTTCAATCAGTGCTCTGCTCTGCCCACTTCACTGACAGATGCAGAGACCACCCAGAGGCACCATTCCATGGGACAAACACGGGCACGTTGGTGCCCCATGGGATTGGGATGGGATGGGATAGGTCTCAAGAGTGCGGCATACCTTGTGGGATGCCACTGGGACCCTGTGCTGGGCCCTGAGCCACACAGCACCCCCTGCCCACCCTGCCCCGAGCATCCCCTTGCCAGGTGTGGGATGACACATCCAAGGAAGAAGATGCCTGTGCATCACCCCAAAAAAAGGTCCCAGGGTCCCTGCAGAAGCTTGTCACAGGGAACCCATAAGACAACATGACACAGAGCAGCAAAAACCTCACAGAGCCCAGCACAGATCCCAGGCTGGTATCGCTCTGCTGGCAAAGTCACTGCTCCCCACTGGAGCTGCCCTGGGGCTCCAAGAGCTGCTCACCAGCACACCCAAATTTTGGACTTGTATTTCAGGTTTGGGTTGCCACATGCCCAGAAGTCCCAGCAGCATTTTCCCTGAGGCTTCCAAAAACACAAGCTGGCACYGCAGTGGTGAAGAAGACAGGAGGAGAGGAAACAGAGAACAGACAGAGTGTAAATCAAAGCACTTAAAAATGGGACTTACCGTCCTCAATGATGACCTTGATGAGCCGAACTGAACCATTTCGGGCTTTGGCAAAAAAGTCCCTTAATTCTGTGGTGGCTGAAAGAACCAGAAACATTGTGATCAGATTTRKCAATCAAAGCAGGTGCTGGGCTGCTCGGTGACTGACCAGGGAGGGGACCAACTTGGCAGGATAGAAATGTAAAATTAATAAAAAAAAAAGTTAAAACCCTGGTACCAAAAAAAGGTAATAAAAATAATAACAATACAAAACCCAAAAAGTTGAGAGAGAAGTGCTGCGTCTCCCTGAGGCGTCAGAGTTAAATAGCAGCTGGGAGCACATGTGATCCAGAGAACCTGATACTTGGCCTGGGTGAACATAATCACCCAAATTTAGACGATGGCTCGGCCAGTGCAGGCAGGCAGAGCTCAAGTGACAAGTTGATTCGCTTTACAGAGTGGCAGGGCTGGCASAGTCGGGGTGGCTGGAGATGTGTGACAGGCTGCCATGTCCCAGCCTTGTGACACRCGGCGGGATGCTGCTCCCGAGCGGCTGCAGCCAGCACAACTCCAAACTGGAGATGCTGCTTGGAAGCTGAGCCTGTGGGGAAGGGAAATGCTACAGCCTCAGGGCTTTGCTCTGGAGCCAGCAGGGCCTGGATTGCAGAAGGCTTTTGGGAAGCGTTTAGGGGAGCTTTCCTCCTCACCCCTCTCCCTGAGCACCAGGCAATGGCAGCCAATCCTCAGCAYCCCACCAGGAGGCATCTGGAGGCACTGGACATGGAAGGAGCAGCCAGCCCTGGATGCTTCATCTGCCCACCCTGGAAGCACCACGGGCACAGAGCTCCCTGTCCCACCCAGGACAGGCTCCATGCCCGGGAGATGTGGCTCTGAGGGGCTGAGCCCCCAACAGGAGCATCCCCCAGCCCAGCTCCCCTAAAGCCCCTGTGGTTACACATCCACGCCCTTTCCTGGATGCAGCCGTGCAGCAAAGGGGCCCTGTGAGTTCACAGCTGCTGTGCTGCTTAGAAATACCAAAGGAACTGGTGCTGCAAAGATTAGAAACCCACACAGACATCCCTTAGCCCACAGCAGGATCCCAGCTGGGGATGGCCACCAGCAGCCCCCATCCCTGGAGCTTTGCTGTGCCACCTGCCCGTCACCGATGGCTGTGCCAAAGCAGCCAGCAGGAAGGAACCTGGAGCCCCACAGCATCCACAGCAGAGGCACTTGGCAAAGGAAGGCATCCTGCAAGGGTCCTGCCCATTCCCTGCAGCACTGGGTACCACCCTCAGCACAGTCCCTTGGTGTTAGCCAGCACTCACCCAAGGGACATGGGCAGCCACCAAATGTCACTCACGGGCAGCCACCAACTGCCACTCAGTGGTGCCCTCAGGCCCCTGGAGGCAGACCCTGGCCTGGGGYACTGCCTGCAGCTCCCCCAGACCCCAGGCAGCAGGAATCCCCGGGGAGCTCCCAGGGATGCCCTGCCTGTCCCCCACAAGTGACACCTCTGCGATGCCTCTGCTCCCCCAGCCCAAAGCCTGCCCTGATGCAAGGTCGGGGTGGCCTCCCCTCCCACGGAGAGAAGAGGCACAAACACACGAGGAAGAGCTCCCAGGCTGGCTCCCTGCAGGCAGCAGCTCCCACACAAAGCCAGAGGTGCCATCCTGACAGGACCCTGCAGGAATGGGCACAGATACCACAGCAAAGGCACATCACTCCTCGATGGCCTTTAGGGGACACACAGAGGATTTGCTGCTGTCATCCCATCACAAGCATCCTCCCTCCATCAGCATCAGGGCAGGCAGCTCTCCCAGCTCCCAGAGCAGACCTTCACCCTCTCCAGTGCCAGCTGGGAGCTCAGGATATCCAACCAAGGATACTCCGATATTTTTAGCCCCTTTGGCTGTTGAGAGCGGCTGTTTCCTTCTGGCAGCATCTGTGGTTATTGCAAACATGCAAGGCGGAAGAGGAAGAGAAAAAGAGACATTTGTGCACCCAGGAAACCTCGTGCACGAGACAAAAGCTCCTAATAAGCATGAAATTTTACCAATTCCTATTGCACTACAAAAGTAGGGGAGAATAACATCGGGTTTGGATGTTTCTATCGCATCAACTTCAGGGAAGAAAGAGGAAATTCCTGCAACATGAACTGGCTTGTAAATCTCTCCAGTCTGACCCCATCCTTCCCAGAACCCAAGGGMAGGCAGGGGGTCTGGAAAATCAGGAGTCTGGGCAAATGCAGCCCTGTRGCCCACTTGGAAATGCTAGGGGTGCCCTGAATTATTGGATCAACAGATGGGATGATTGGCAGTTGRGTGATTGACAAGTGACAGCCAAGCACTGGGATCTGTGCAGGTTCCAAGGGGTTGAAGAGGATGAGGAAAAGCCTGGATGCTGCCAGAGAAGCTGAGAGCACCATGGGAAATACCACAAGGTCTGCCAAGGAGGGAGACTGTTTCCAGAGGAGACACCAGCAAAGCTTTCAAAAAAAACCTCAGAGAGGGCTTGCGAGATTTAATTCTGCTGATTTCTTTTTGTTTTAAAAAAAGYAATTTTCATTTAAATAAAAACACCAGGGTGTCTTCAACGTCCCCTTCTGCCTCTCACAATGCAGAGCCAAGAACCAGTGAGGAGGGAGAAGAACAAACCAGGGAAGGTTTGAGCTCAGCAACTGCTTCGTTACGGCATGATTACAACTTAATTGGCACAGCAGACTTGACGAGATGGCTCGCGTGCCTGAAATATTAACAGAGGAGTCCACAGTCGGCTCTGGAATAAAGGCAGGGAGGAGACCTYGCCCTGGAGATGTGTCTGGAAGCCTCCAGGATGTGTCCACAACTCAAGGGCTGAAAAMTCCATGTGTGGGGAAACCATAAAAAGCAAGGGAAAGGGAGAAGCAACAGGGSAAAGGACTGGAAGGGATCCACACATCCAACTCACCCTCTGGACATGGGTTCCTGGAAAGTCCTGGAACAAATAATCCAGAAACAAATCCAAGCTGGGCTTACAGCCAGTGGGGATCTACTGAGGCCAAGATGCATGAGGTCYCTCATGCTTTCTCCAGGAGAGCCACAGACTTGTGGGCTTCAGGGGCCTCAGCTCAGCTTCTAAGTGTCTCCAAGTGTCCCAGCTTGGGCACACGGTGGTGCTGAACCTCCATGGCAGACACAAAACCCATGGGTAACTCACTCGGGGAGGGATCAGAGCTGGCATGGAGCAAGGTGTCCTGGGCACCTGTGGTGGGTCCAGGTTTATCCACATTTCCATGAACACTTCCTGCAGCTGTAAGTGGGGAGCTAGAGGAGATGCAAATGTGCGCTGGAGAAAAATTCACCGTTCTCTCAGGAGACTGGAGAAATGGGCTGGGAAAAAAAGAAATAGGATGAAACTCAATAGGAAGCAAAGTACCATAACTGGGGGAAGGACCATCTACACGGACACAGGGCAGGGTCCAGCAGCTCCAGAGAAGAGAGGTGGGTCACAAGCCAAGTCCAGGTTAGTCACTTCACGTTGCTGCAGGCAAAGTCATTTGTGAAGGCACAAACAAGAGCATGGCCACGTGTTCTGGTGCTGACAAGGCTGCAGGCACAGCATGAACTGCACAGCCAGGCTCAGCATCGTGCAAGGAGCAAGGCACAGCACAGACAGCACCTGTGCCAGAGAGCACAGAGGGCAGGAGCCACCAGAGGAACCACAGCGGGTCGGCCCAGGGAAGAGAAACATCAAGACCCACCTGGGCATTTGGGAAATCTCATGATGAAGGTGACCAAATCCTGGGGAAGGACACCATACCTCTATCCCTGCCCTGAAAATGGATGTTGCTGCTCAAGATGTTGCTGCTTTGAGGCAGCTTGAGCTCAGGAGCATCTGAGGAACCTTCTGGCCTTTCTACAGGGCAGTGCTGCTGTTGGCCCTCCTGGCAGATCTGGCAGGCACAGGCACCTACGCCACCTCAGCCACCCCAAAACCGCCCTCAGCCACTGAGTTGTGCAGCACCTCCCTCTCCCACTGGTTTGTAGGCTGCAGATGAGCTGTCCCCTGCTCAGGAGCCACCTGCCTTTAGCAGCCTGATAACAGCACGTCCCAGGGCCCCTTACACCACACAACCTCCCAGCCCAGGGGCACATGCCACCCATTTGGGATCAGGGCTGAGCAGGGCCAGCCGATGACACCGGGGGCAGCTCCCAGCGTGGCAGGGAGGTGATGGCTGGCCAGCAGTGGCCTTCAGGTGGCCCTGATCCTGCAGGCAAGCTGCCAGAGCAGAACTGGAGCCGGGGTGGGAGGGCAGGACGGTGCCTCCCCTCCAGCAGCACCGAGCAGGCGCAGAGCAAAGYCTGAACCAGATCCTGGCACCTGCAGACAGACACGCTGTTTGCAGCCAGAGCAGGCACTGCCCTGCCCTGGGATGTGCCCGTTCCGATCAGCCCTCGGGAGATTTCAGTGCAGGGCTCGAAGCATCGCGCTTGGGTTAAACCGCTGAGCGATGGAGCTTGAGGGTAGTGCCCGCCAAACGCTGCTCCCAAACTGAGCCTTTTCTGCTGTTTACAGCCCCAATTTGCTCCTCTGAGCAGAGCCGGGCTGCAGGGAGCTCGGAGGGGGAGACAGGCACCAGGCAGTGGTGACAGCCGTGTGTCACACAGCCCCACTGTGTCCCTGGGGATGCCAGGGTGCCAGCGGAGCCACCCCCGGGAACATCGCGGGGACAGGGATGGAGGCACAGCCACAGCACCGCCCCTCCTCCAGCCTCCTGCCCACTTGTTGGGGCACCAACAGGTWTTTTTCTTGTTTGACCCGTCCTGACGGCCCCCACGCAGCGCCCAGCTCCCAGATCAATAATACATGCTCCCTGAAACAGATGCCTCTCCCAACACAGCGAGTCACCTTGCCCTCCCGACGGAAACCCGAGCCTCGGGCCATCAATCTTTCATTCCCTGGACATAATCTTCAACTCGATGCGACTGTGAGCGCCTGCTTCCCTTTCACTGTCCMGGGCACAGCGTGCCTGGGATGCAACAGGGAAACTCGGCCAAAAATCCAGCCACAAACCCAGGCAAAAGCCATCCAAGTTCCAGGGATGCTCGGCCAGACGTATGTCAAGATGCTGATGAATAAAACATGGTTATAACCTGCATTACCCACACTTTCCTTGCCCAGGMAGCTCTGCCCAGCTCCTGTCTGGGCATCCAGGAAAGGACACAACTGCAACAGGCACAAAATAGCTTTTGCTGCTGCTAAAATTCCTTCTTTTCAGTCTATCCCAGTGTAACTCCTTTACACAGTGCCTGCTCAACTCACTGCAGAGAGCTTTTCTGCCAACAGACACGGATGGCCAGTTTAAGCAGTAAGAGGATTTTATTTCTCACCATGGAAAAAAATAAATATGTCCTTGAAGGGAATCTTTTCTGGGCAAAAAAAGCTACAGATGTCAGAAGAAAATAGAAAGAAGGGAACGGTGTTGGGGGGAAAGGAAGCAAGAGAGGAGACAAGCAAAGCTCATGCCAATTTTCTGTGGGGCTAGACTGTATTCCTGCAGGATTTCACACAGACAATCCCGCAGAGSAAATCTTGACCAGAGACTTTCAGCCACCTGCCCTACACCAGACATTTGCTTCTCAACACCTGCCTTTCCACACGTGTGCCCAGGACCTGTCTTTGTCTGCCCTTTGCCACCTTGGATTGGAGTTATTCGTCCCTTCCCTCGCTCCAGGGTAGGCAGCACTCACCCTGCAGCCAGATCAGTCGGTTTCTGGAGCAAAGTGGTGGTGCAGCACACACGGTGCTTTGCCTGCAGAGGCTGCTGGTTTCTGTTCCTTTTCTCTGCCAATAAAGCCACCAGCAGAGCACTGGTTTGTGCATTGGAGGGGACAGGCACGCAGGGACAGACCTTGGCCACGATCTCATTGCATTTTCAGTCTCTCACTGCACACTTTCCAAAGGATTTCCTCCACCCCACCACTTCAGGTGCTTGACTTCAAGGGCTTGGACAACCCAGGGTGTCTGGTCTTCCACCCACGCTGTCGCTCTGACGTGCTGGACACTTGGATATGCCCACACCACCCTCCAAGGTGGCCCCAGAAAAGAGCTCACAAGCAGGTTTGGCTCTTCAAAATCATCCTTGCAGCAGCCCAGTGCCCTCTGTCTTCCATGGATAACWGGGGCCATRGGCAAGTTATCMCTCCCCTTCCTTCTTCTCCGCTKATGGTGTGACACATCCCTGGTTAGGGGGTTTCCTCAGGCATTCCAGCCATGAAACTACCCCAGAATTTGGACACCCAGGTGCCTTGGGAGCCTGTGCTGCCTTCCCGCACAGCAGGAGGAGGGGGCTGAGGATGTGATGGACGGGCAGAGAAGGTCCTTCTTTCCCCTCACTGAAGAGCCAGGAAACCGCCTGCTTTCCAAGGAGACCCTTGCAGACCCAGCAGCTCCTGGGTCCCACCTCTGCTCTTTTTTTACCCATCTGACAGCATTCCTGCCCGTGTGCATCATGGCTATGCTTCTCCTGAAGCAAACATCCATTCCTACCAGGCRCTTTCCCAATGCAAGATCCAGACTGGATCAGTGTGGGTGTGAGCAAAGGTCCTCCYCCATTCCCAGATCTTGCCACCTCTCCCAGAAAGAGCAGGTACCAAACTCTATTTTTGGGTTGAAGAAACAACATGCATTTGATTTCTTTATTTTCCAGATGAAAAAATACCCTCTAAGGGACCTTTTCTCTTTACCCAGTGGTGTTCAAAGAGATCCCAAAAGCAACTGAAAGCAGCTGACCTCCCACCAGCATCAAAGCCCTGGTTCAGCATCGCCTTCCAAAGGTTCTCAACTCAAGCAGTGAATGCYGTTCCAGTCTAACTCAGAGCAAAACAGGGACTGCAAAAACACTCACTGAATCCTCCCAGCTGTAGCTAAAAAGCAGGTTTCCAGCCCCAGGAAGCCCACAGCACCCTTTGATAGCTTCCAACCGCCTCCCCAGCCTGGCAGTCTCCATGGTAGCCTGGTTTTCTTGCCAGCACCTTCCAGAGAGCTGCCTGGAATATCTAAAAAAATAATAATTAGCCTCTTGCCCCTGCATGAAAGGCTCAGCCCTGAGTGCACTCCCCAAACCCGCAGCTCTCACTGCCATCACTTCCTCTCCACCTGTTTCTCCCCAAAAGCCGGGATGACGTGGGAGCATTGCAGCAGGAGGCTGCTCTGGGGGTTCCCCACCACCACGTCACCCTGCCCTCACACACATCTAGCACACTGTCAAACAAAATCCCTCACCAGCTTGTCTGCAACCTCCCCCAAGCCAGCTGCAGAATCTGATCATAATTCCCCTGGGAGCAGATGTCTTCCTGAAAATATGGGAGAAACGGGAATGGAAAAAAAAAACCCGCTGGGTGCACAGAAAGATAACAAGGCCCCAGAAACCAGGAAGGCATGGAAAATSCCTCCTCTTCAGCAAAACAACAGACCTCAGCGCCTCAGCAGAGGGGATGAAAGTAGCATTGGGATTGCTGTTCCTCATTTGATAGGGAATCYGCTCTTTGCTGAGCAAACAGAATAATTCAATCACTGTGACAGGGTGGGGCAGACTGAAATATCCCAAACCCATCTCGGGGGGGTTCCCTTAAAGCCTGGAGCACCCCAGTTGTGCTTTGCAGGTATTGGTGGGGCAGATTTGCATTCAGAGAGGAAACAGCTTCCCGGAAGAGAGATGGCACAACAGGGCACAGAGAGAGAACCCAGAGATGTCCAAGACACTGTGACAGCAAGACCACCCAACACAAGCTATTTTCCATAGCCACAGGGAGGTTTTTACACCAGCCCCCAGGGATCTGCTGCCAGGGCAGAGTCATCAGGGCCATCCCCACCCTGCACCACTGCAGCTCCTTGGGGGAAGTCGAGTCCCTTCCCCTTTCCCGCTGACAGGGCACGTCACATCCTATGGGCAACGGTGCCCCACGGTGACTCTCAGCAGTGGTCACAGGGTTTGCCAAGCGTGGGCAACCAAGGTCAGCAAAGGTCAGCGCTCTCAGAGAGAGCCAAGCTGGCATACCTTCTTCCCCAACAGCCACAGGGTGCCAGGAAGGACAGCACCAGCAGCACAGGAGCAGCCAGGCACAGCCAGAGAGCAACAGGCAGCAKCCTCCTGGGGCACTCAGTGCAACAGGCCCTGCCTGCCCAAACCCCACAGACAACTCTGCGGAGCGGGGCCAGCACACCCAGAGCTCAGGTGGGTGCAGCGGTCCGTCCCGCTGATTTTTAACTTTTAAAATTACTGTTATAYTTTTACTAAATGAGGAAGATTTAATTAGAGCCTGAACTTCAGGATCTCAGCTTAAGCCGGAAGCAATGAACATGAACCCAAATGTGGTCAACMACCAGTTCTCCTGAGCAAAGCAGGAGAAACATCGAAGCACCATTGCTGGCCACTTTTCAGCTACAGCCCCTCCAGAACAACTGCAGGGGAAGGATGCTATCGACCATGCTGAAGGAAAAAGGATGCTCATGCCATGAAGGACCAGCAGGCACAAATTCCCACCGTGGCACAACGATGCTAACGGGAGGCAGCTGTRAGGCCAATGTCCCTGCTCCCCTCCCGGGACACGCTGAGGGCTGCATTCACACCCGACAGCGCAGAGCAGGGCTCCAGGGGCAGCTGCTCTCACATCTCTGCTCGCATATTGATTCGCTTACATAAATTATGCAGCACCTCTATCCCTGATTAATATTGCTAATTGAGCTGGCAAGGCGGGGGGCAGGAGGGAAATACCGTGAGGATACACAGTCAGTCATGCACCAAGCACACTCAGAAATGCAAAAAGCCGTCGTGTCGGGGTGCTGGCTGGGTCCTGTGGGGAGCGAGCGGAGAAATCGGGGATCAGGAATTCCCTCGGGCTCTCCGCAGCTTCCCTGGGCTGGGGGGCACCTGGGGTCGAGCACCCCCGCGGGCAAGGGAGCGGTGGCGGGGCTGCGGCCAGGCGGATGCGAGTGACACATCTGTCCCAGCACGTCGCGGTGGTGTCGAGCATCAGCCCAGACAAAGGACGCGGGAGAGCCCCGCACCGGCGGCACCCCGAGGCCAGACCCCCCTACCGCACCTCCTCCCGGCACCCAAACGCTCCGAGCCTGATTCGACGTCCCCCTCCCCCGCTACTCGCAGGAAACCTGCCGGTTCCTTCGGGAAGCTTCATCTCATCGCCCCCATCACCGCCGCTGTCGCGACAGCGCCCGCAGCCCGCCGCGGCGGGGCCGGGGATGCGCGGGGCGCGGCTCGGGGGTGCCGATGGCGAGGGTGCCGATGGCGGGGTAGCCCAGCCCGGGGCGGGGGCCGGGCCGGGAGCGGCGGCGGGGGCAGCCCCGCGGGATGGGGCGGGGGTCCAGCGCTCGGCGGGCGCCGCTCACCGTGGATGCCGGTCTGGTGAGTCATGGCTCCGCTCGGCTCCGCTCGGCTCGGCTCCGCTCCGCCGCGTCCCGGGCAGGAAACGGCTGGGCAGGCAGCACCGCCCGTTCCGGAGCGCGGGGCCGCTCCGCTCCGCTCCGCACCGCCCCGGGGCGGGACCGCGGCCGGGCCGGGAGGAGCCGCACCTGCCCCGCCATGTCGGGCGAGTGGCTGCGGCGCTGGCGGCGGGGCAGCTCCGCGGAGCGCCCCGGTGGATCCCCGGCACCGGCACCGGGCCCGGGCCCGCCGCCCCCCGCCCTGCGCTACCGCCGGCCCAAGTTCCTGCCCGGCGGCGGCGAGGAGGCCCCGCGGGGCGGGCGGGCTGTGCGGGGCGCCGCGCCCGAGCGGCCCCTGCCCTGGGGCGCGGGATACGCCGAGTGAGTGGGGCCGGCAGCGGGGCCGCTCCGGGACGGGCTCCGGGACAGCTCCGGGGTGGCCGGGCGGGGTTAGGGGCGCTCCCGGGGTGCTGGTGCGGGGGAGTGGTGAAGGTTTAGGGGATGTGGAGGGTGCGTGCGGGACCTGGGGCRCTCCTGGCGAGGTGCCGGGGGTGGTCACACCCCACCTGCCCGCGCTGCACCCCTCGGCTGCAGCCGCCCCTGCCCGGAGTGGCCGCCCGCAGGCACAGCTCGCCCTCCTGCCCCGTCTGCAGMGGAGGGAGCGGCTCTCTGCTCCAGAGGTTTGGCGTGGCGGTGAATCCTCCAGCCCCTTTCCCTCCCTGCGGGCGGCGGGGACACCCTTGCCCATCCCCTGCCAGCCACAGGGCCAGCACCAGTGCTGTGACAAGTGGCCGGGGTAGCCCCGAGAGAAACCCCGCTCTTAGCAAAGTGTCTTTAAAGCAAAGAAAGGGSAAGACCACATTTTTAGCAATCTCTTGGTTTGCTGTCTTAACTGACAGAGGGGATGGATCAGGCAGAACAATTCCAGCCAGGAGCTGTTGCCACGTCCAGGCCAGACCACATCGTGACCCCATGGTCTTGGGACAGCACAGCGTGAATTGTAAGGAGAGCACACTCCCATCCAGGGACAAACACTAGCAAGGCTGGAAGGAAAAGCAGTGGTGGTGGTTTTGCAATGTACTGTGTCAACAAGGAAATGGCACAGCGTGGGCTGCTGACAAGGGCTGCYTGAGGCCAGGGTGCAGGTCTCTGTGTCCCCAGCCGGGCTTTTCCTCAGTCACCAGCAAAGACATCCTTGAGTTTGAAAAGGGAGCAGGGGGCTGGCAAGAAGGGGCAAGGTGCAGCTTTTGCAGTGGCTGCAGAGCACCCAGCAGAGCTGGCTGGGAGCAGGCGAGGTGCAGTGTGTCCCCACACCTTACCTGGAGTGTTTGCAGGGTTATCAATGCCGAGAAGTCAGAGTTCAATGAGGACCAGGCAGCCTGCTGTCAGATCTCCATCCGGAGGAGAGAGCCAGGCCTGGAGGAGGATGAAGAATGGCTGATCCTGTGCTCCACGCAGGTATTGCCCCCAGGCAGGCTGTGCTCACCCTGCTGCCAGCCTTTTGCTGCCACCCAAGGGCTTGGSTTCAGGAAACACGGGATTGCTCCATCAGTCCTACACCTCCACGTGCTGAAACCCTTCCCTGGATGTGTTATGGGGACCCCTGTACCCTGTGGCCAGCAAATACTTACTGCCATTTCTACTGCCATGGCCATGATTTGCAGCATTTGACGTCATCCAAACACTTGGTGCCCTCACCTTTCCTGTCCTCTCTCTGCTTTCAAGGGCCAGTGTTCCTTGTCAGCACTTGAGGCAGCAGGATGAGCTGGGCACACAGGATGCTCTCACCAGGCTCTGCCTCTCTTCTTGTGCAATGGCCCCATCTCCTCTAATACCCAGGAACAGCACATGAGGGTGTTGGTGCAAATCCGGATGCTCAGACATCAGATGATGGGTCTGGCAGGGCAGCACGTGGACATCGGTTGAGCTGCACAGGAGATTTACCAGTGGCAGGGAAGGGTAGCTGGGGTSGAAAAGCCAGGCAAAACACATACAGTGACATTCTGGCTGTGASCCTGCCATCTGTACAACCTCTTCAGCCTGTCTTGTCCCTCTTCCTCACGGCAGTTTCTGACTGGTCACTACTGGGCGCTGTTTGATGGCCATGGTGGCCCAGACGCTGCCATCATTGCCTCCAACTATTTGCACTACTGCATCAAGCAGAAGCTGGAGGARGTTGTGGCAGGCATCACCGAGGTGCAGCCCCCCATGCACCTCAGCGGACGCTGCGTTTGTGACAGTGACCCCCAGTTCGTGGAGGAGAAGCACATCCATGCAGCAGACTTGGTGGTGGGAGCCCTGGAGAATGCCTTCCAGGAATGTGTGAGTACCCTGTGCAGGGCACAGTCCTGCTGGCCCAGGCAGTCGGTCTGTCCCTCCCTGTGCCCTGGGAGGGCAGGGTCTGCACTTCTGCAGCTCATGGAGCAGGCTGAAATGCTGCATGAGCCAAACGTTTAAATGTGCTGAGATCACGCTGGGTCAGACCCCAGGATGTGCCTTAGAGTTGGCAGTGCTGACCCAGAGCAAAGCTACAGCAGCTCTGTACAATTCTTTGGGGCAAGAAGGTGGCTGTTGTCAGACTCATAGAACACATAAAAGCATGASCTCTCCCCATCACCCTCCTAAAGCATCCATAGTCCAGGAGCAATGGCTGTGCAGGCTGTAGGGAAGCAGTGTTGTCTGTTGCTTTGCTGGTTTCCTGTGGCCCGTCCACAGTTAGTTTTGGTTCTGGATTTCTGCTGGGAGGGATGAAACTGTGTGTAGTGCAGCAGCCCAGATCATGCCAGTTTCCAAACTTGTTTAAATCAACAGGATGAAGTCATTGGCCAGGAGATGGAAGCTACAAAYCAGACAGGAGGTTGCACTGCTCTGGCTGCCCTTTATTTTCAGGGAAAGCTGTACGTGGCCAATGCTGGGGACAGCAGGTGAGTGATAATAAAAGGGGGAAGTGTCTGGAGGTGAGAGCTGAGAATTAAGCAAGGCTTCCAGCATCTTCCTGTCCTGGTTTAAGGTGAGACAGAGTTCTAGAGAACACTGTTAATAACCCACTGATGTGTAAGTAGTGCAAGCACKGCTCAGCAACAGAGTCAGGAACTTTTCAGCTTCTCACTCCACCAGTGAGGACATTTAGGGGCACAAGAAGCTGGGAGGGGATGCAGCTAGGACAACTGACCTCAACTGACCCAGGGGATGTTGCAGACCCCATGGCACCATGCTCAGTGTGTGAACTGAGGGGAAAGCTGGCCTGGGGCCACTGCTGGGGAAGTGGCTGGGCAGCAGTCAGCAGGTGGTGAGCAACTGTGCTATTGTTTTCTGTATTCTAATTCTTATTTTCCCTTCCCTTCCTGTCCTATTCAACTTCTCTCAACCCAMAGATTTTACTTTCTTTTTTCCCACTTACCACTCCCATCCCACTGGGTGTGGGGGGAGTGAGTGAGTGCCTGTGTGGTGTTCAGTTGCCTGCCAGGTTTAGCCAGACTCTGATTTAATCCTACAGACAGTAAATGTGCAGCTCAGCCACATCCCTGCCCCGCTGCCTGGCACAGGACCTGTTGGAAGAAAGGTGCTTTCATGCTTCCGGAACTGTTTGGGGATTTCAAAGGACTGAAGCTGCCCAGACACAGCACTGGGGTGGTAATGCAGCAGTACACTCAGCCTGGCAGCTGTTTAAAAGTGAAGGGTGATTTCCCTCACTTGGCTGTGCCCCCCCATCCCTCTAACAGTGAGCTCGACCACTGTCAAAACAGGCAGGCACAGTTCTCTGCTGCAACAGTGCAATTGCAATGGAGTTATTTAAAACAGTGGCATTTTTTAACAGTTTTGGGTGCACAGCTGTTCTCTGGCACAGCTGAGCTTTGCCTCTTCCCCCTTGTAGGGCAATTCTTGTCCTGAAGGACAACATTGTGCCCATGAGCACCGAGTTCACACCTGAGTCAGAGAGGCAGCGAATCCAGCACTTGGTGAGTGACTCCTTCCACATCAGACAATCCAACTGTGAGCATCCCTCTGGGTCAGAGAGGCCTTGTGGCAAGAGGACCACCAGATTTCCTTGAAAGCCACTGTGTGGCCATAATGTCAGCTGGTACTAGCCAGAGAGGGCTGGGGTAGAGATTTGGCCAGCAGTCTTTAGTATGGGAGATGTTCATATCCTGACTGGAATGTGCTTTCCCAATTTTGGTCTCCATTCTGCTGCTGGAAGTGCCCGTCCTGAGGCAGAAGCAGAACCTGTGCATGCTCACATCTCCATTCCCTCCTCCAGGCTTTTCTTTTCCCCAAGCTCCTGGATGGTGAGTTCACACGCTTTGAGTTTCCACGGAGGTTGAAGGGAGATGACGTGGGCCAGAAAGTCCTGTACCGGGATTACTTCATGGAGGGCTGGTGAGTCCCTTCTSCCTGCTGAGGGTAAGGCTGCAGCACAGGGCAGCTTTACCTGCTCACAGSGATGGGGAGCTGAAGGGAGAAGGGGCACATGCTGCWGGTGAGAGCAGCAGCACCAYGGTAGGGAAGGATGCTGTGAGCAGCTGCCTCTGACTRAAGGACCAGGGCCATGGCARGGTGGTTAGAAAACAGTCAAGGTGATCCTTCTGGAATCCATCGAGGTGGGGCTGGTGTAGGGAGTCACAGCCTTTACTGCATCTGCTTCAACAACCATGCCATTTCCACAGTGAGCTGTCTGTGCATGGGGACACCACAAGGGTTCGATCACAGTCAAAATGCTCTGGCTAGGTTATACTGTCAAGTCAGACAAATCCCAAATCAATGATGAATTCTCTGTTCCAGGGGGTACAAGACGGTGGAGAAAGCTGACCTCAAGTATCCTCTTGTCCATGGTCACGGGAAGCAGGTAGCTTAATGCTTTTACACACTGGGAAGGCACAGGCGAGTCTGCTGGGGGTCCTCAGTGTCCCTGTCACTCATGTCACTCTGAGGCACTATGGCAGACCCGGAGCTCTGGTCTCTCCAGCATGGTGCAGTCCCACAGCCCAGATGCAGCAGCTCCCTTTGCTGCCTGGCTGCTGTAACCTAGAACCCTCTGGAGCAGAGTCTGCACCTTCCTGCAGAGTACACCAGAGCAGAC